TGCTGGAATCATTGATGTATCATGCAAATTTCAGGTGCCATGATAAGAGCAATATTCACAGCCACATTAGGTTCTAAAGAAAGACTTCTCTAGTAGAAACTTCTAAATAAAGTCAAAGAAATAATTTACTTCCTAAAATAAACAAGAGTAGTCAGTTATACACAGAAAGAGGTGTTAATTATATTTAACTAATATTCCAGCATTTTATTATAATCAAGTTGGAAAAGAAGTTAAAAATGTATTTAGTCAAAGGAACACGTTTATCCATTTCATGATTCATTATCTGAACCACTGCGCATGCACATCGTTACAGAAATAAGAAAACTGCATTGCTTGATAAAGCAGTAATTAAGGATATGGATTCTGCTTTCTTTTCCTTAAGGCAAAACTTACAAATTTTCACAAAAGTTTATAGTTATTGTCCTCCTCATGCATGTTAATCTCCACGTCAATGAAACATTTCTTCTGTGATGATAAAACTCGAATCTGTAACTTTTATTATAATGGGAGAGATACCTTTACTAACTAAGGGAAGGAAATAGTATTAGGTTTTTGGGGTTGGTTTTGGTTTGGTGACATTCTGATCAGTCTAATATAACACATGGAGGCTACAATGATGAGACAGCTTTGTTTCAGTGAGCCCGTACCAAGCCCAAGTGAAGTGAGATCAGTGACAATGAATCACTTGTCACAGACTGCGGGCCCTTATCAGCCAGTTATAGACACAAGGAACTTTATATCACATCCACAAGTGGCAAAGCTACAAAGGACTTAAACCACAGCACAGTGGTGACACGTTTTAGAGATAAAACATAAATCTAGACAATATTGCATCATATTGACATTTAGCAATTTTAGTAACCGCTTCATAATATAACTTGCTTTCCTTAAAATTTTAGGGACCTCGTATTCTCAGTTTTAAGGGGTTTCCTTTTTTATTTACTAACCACAAAAAAATGCCATTGAAGAAGTAACTGACTTGCATGTAACACAGCCCATAGTTCATTTTACAAGTTAGCTACTGGACTGACTTGAGGATGGTCCTGAATCCTGCACCACTTCAGAGCCACTTAAAACTCACTTTTCACAGCAAAACCCACGGAGATAACAATTGCCATGGACAAAGGTGAGAGGGCCGGGCAAGCATGAGCTTCCACAGTGCCGGCCATGGACAAAGGTGAGAGGGCCGGGCAAGCGTGAGCTTCCGCAGTGCCAAGGGGACAGAGGTGGAGCTAACAAGGGAGTGCAGGTCCATTTACTCCTGGTAATTCTGTGCAGGTAACCCTGACCAAGCTCACCAGAGATACACAGACATTACTGGAAAAGATAATTTTCATTGACTAATGAACATCTGCAGGTTCCAAATACCCTTGGAAAAGCTGTCAGCCCCACAAACATAGAGTAGTCTGGGGAGGCTGTTGATTCTAGAGCTGTTAACATATGAAAGCCACCAGTCAGTAATCACAGAATCACAGAACGTTAGGGACTGGAAGGGACCTCCAAAGCTCATCCAGTCCAATCCCCCTGCTGGAGCAGGAACACCCAGATGAGGTTGCACAGGAAGGCGTCCAGGCGGGTTTTGAATGTCTGCAGAGAAGGAGACTCCACAACCTCTCTGGGCAGCCTGGGCCAGTGCTCTGTCACCCTCACTGAGAAGAAGTTTCTTCTCAAATAGGGACAACAATTAAACTTCAGTTTAACAATTATTTCCATATGTAAACGAAACACAGTTTGATGATTCATTCTTTGGTTTGAGACTACTGATTAAAAGATTTTGTCATAAAATGACACTGACTATCTCTGTGCCCACAATTCACCATGGAAATACATTATCTTTAACATGTAGAGTTAAATGTCTGGGTAAAACCTAGCTGAAAATTTGTCTGTGTACATTTTGCATGGAATTACTTAAGTAAAATATACTTCTTGTGAGAGGATACCCAATGAATGGTGAAATATTTGTATCCTTCTTTAGTGTGGTTTCTGGGAAGAAGCTGTTTGAACTTCAGAGGAACAAATTTTATTCGGTAGCTTGGGAAAAGTTGAGTAGGATGCCAAGAGGTTCCAGTGAGGCAATGCTCATAAAGTCAGGTGTCAATTTACAAAAAACCCTCTCTTATAGAGACAAAAATCAGCTTTTATCAGAAGTAAATTTTCTGGAGAGCATCACGTTCAAAAAAATCTATTTGTAAAATGAGGTTCAAGTGATCTTTTTCAGAGAGCAGCTCTACATTTTGCAGTTCAGTATGGCTGAAATTCCTCTAGAATAATTTACTTTCAGCATTTCTTTTAATGAAACTTCCAAATCTTCTATGACACACAAATATTCTGGAGGACAAATGCTTACTAAATAGATGCAGAGCAATTTGAAGCCCCTGCACAGGAGGAATAAGTAACATCGATAGTTACAGCTTCCTACGTGGAGAGAAGAGAGCAATTCTGCAGTTCAGCGAGGACCACACAGCACATCAGTCAGTGGGAACCGCACAGCCAAAGCTTGAAACGCTGCGCATCACCTTGCTCATCTGCTCCGCAGCCTCTGCAGCCAGCCCGTCTCCTCTCATTAACTGCTTCTACGCCTTGCAAAGCAGTGTGATGTGGAGGTGATTTGTATTGCAGTAGCAATATTCTTGGCAGACTTACGATCTTTACCCAGTGGAACCAATGGAAAATGAGCCTAGCTGGGTCTTTTTATTGACTGCATTCCATTATCTTCACAGGTGCTTTCTTTCCTGCCTTGTTCTTTTAGCTTATTATGGACAGAGGCTACATTTACTGGACAATAGCTTCCACACTGCTCTCTTTTCATTTCCCAGAAAATACTACTACTACACTTTTTCAAGTTATTTGAGACCTGTCCAATTCTTTACCACTCTTTACAACAAGTTCTTTGTTGCTTCAGTAAGTGCATCATGTAACTGTCCTCATGCCATGGCATTTACACCCACTCATCTACATGTGGGATATCAATTTTTCAAATATTCTGTGTGTTCCCTTTACACAGCTACAACAGGCTTCCAAAGACTTAGACATTTTCCAGTTGCTCACCCATTACTTGTTAAAATTGGCTTCAAAAAACAGTTTAGGAACTAAGTTATAGAATTACCATTAATTTTATGTCCCTCTTATTTAGGTAGACACCCTCTGTGAAAAACATCACAGAGTTTTCCATTACAAATGAAAGGTAACGATGTGAATAATGGTATTCAAGTCACATCATCTCCAGTTTTTATATCATGATGCAAACTGACCTCATAATTTTGTCATCTTCTGTATTTACAGCCCAATAATGCTTTTCTGGCAGTTCACAAGGGCTACTGAATTTACGAGGCACTTGCAAGTCAGGTATTTTCCAAATACTTTGCCTGCATTTCTCGAAAATGATTTCTAGAGAAATTTAAGTCTACTGTGTGTACTGGATTAAATAGCATAAGAACTAAGTCGTAACTTATAGTATTGTGTTTTAAATTTTATTATATGGAAATATAGATATATATATGCTTCATATGATGAAGCACTTTATTTTTACAGATAATGGTGTTTACTCTGTTTTTCAGGATATAAAATGTACCTGGTACCAAACTGCTTTAGCACTTCATAAAAATAACTTAATAAAACTTGACTCAACCAATGTATGGGCAAAAACAGACAAACAATGCGGCCTGCACTAAAAAATGGGCAATTCTAATGCCATCAGTTATGAAATCGATTCTGGATCAAAAAGTCCTTGACAAAGTGTCAGTCTCAAGGTACCTGACACCTTACTTTGTGGACTGCAGTCAAGTGTCTCTGTCCACTTCATCCACTGTAACAATTCATAGGACAGAGACAGCTGCTTTCATAAGCAACACCCAAGGCAGAGAGGTTTTCTAGACCAACATGAGCACTTTGATTTACATGTGAAAGGGAACAGTAATCCAGGATTGTACTTTAACTCCAGTAATATATTGTGAGCACTAGGAAACATATGGCTGCATGCTGCAAAAACTGATGCATCTGGGTGAACTTGCACAGCAAGATTCATAGTGTTCACTTCATAAAATCTGATAAGAAGATAATAAAAGTGTGGGTGGCAAGTGAGACAAGTGACTTAAAACATCTGTGTAGGGAGAAATGCAGATGATTCTGCACAACTGACTGGCAGCGTGCTCTCATAAAACATTTCAGACTGTTTTTACAAGATAAAGAAGTTGTATCTGAAATGTCCTCTCCTATCCCTTCCAACACACATATATTGTGCAGTTAAAACCTGGACAATTAAATTCTGCATTAGTCACACCAAGTCAAAGTGAAAGAGGACTGCTTTTTAAAATAAGCACACCTCTTGTTCAGGCTGTTAAAAAACTGACAATGTGATGTCGGGGTTTCACAGGTACAGGGCAGTTCTGAAACATTTGATTATTTCTCCCTAGCCACCCTTTCTCCTTGTCTTCACATCTCCATCTCACCTTAGATTAAAGTCACAGGGATTTTGGTGCTGATTACAAACAAAACAGATCAAGCTACAAACTTGGCAGCCAAAATACATTGTGGACAGGATCCCTTTGCGCTATCCCACATCCTCTCCTGACTGGGCTATCTATTGAAAAACCTGTCTAAATAAGTAACATTAAGATCTTTTGTAACAAATGGATCCCCTGACACCCACAGTCCCATATGGAATTCTAGTTATATGCCTACAAGGCAGAGAGGGAGAAAGAAAGAAGTGAGAGTGTATGTGTTTTAGATGAGGAAGCTTTGCAGAATCACGTGTCAAAGGAGCAAGGCCTGTATCAGTCACTTAAATACAGAGTGGTACATCCAAAACATGCACAATTCGGTTCCGCATTCCAGGACAACGCAGACATACTGCCGACAGTGACTAAAGCGAGCAATAGTAAAGCCCTCTGAGAGGAGGCTGCAATTGAAAACAGATTTAAGATCAAATCAAAGAATGTCACATTTAATATTCAAAGCACTCTGACTGATCCTTACTGCCTGGGCTATAAAAGGAATCTTACCGTGGGTTGGAACGAGAAAGTGGGCTCATTTCTTTCTGATAGTGATGCTCCTGACTGACGGGCTATGGAAAACAAAAAATAATAGTGAGAAAATAACTTTGCAAATATTCTTTCAGAACGTTTAGAAGTACGTTAGAGATCTTTTATGAGCGTACACATTTGCAGCCCCTATATTATAATTTTACAGTCTTTATTCTTATCTATGAAATTTCAAAGGGACATTCAGATCCTAACTGCAAAAGTACAGCTTCACAGATCATAGAATCACACAGAATCGCTCGGTTGGAAAAGCCCTCTGAGATCATCACGTCCAACCGTTCCTGTCTACCCCCTAAACCATATCCCTAAGTACCTCGTCTACCCGCTCTTTAAACACATCCAGGGATGGTGACTCCACCACCTCCCTGGGCAGCCTGTGCCAGCTTCTGACGACCCTCTCAGGAAAGAACTTCCTCCTTATCTCTAACCTGAACCTCCCTTGGCACAGCTTGGTGCCGTTTCCCCTTGTTCTATCCCCCATCACCTGGGAGAAGAGACCAGCACCCACCTCTCTACAACCTCCCTTGAGGCAGCTGTAGGCGGTGATGAGGTCTCCCCTCAGCCTTCTTTTCTCCAGTATGAGTATTTATACACAATATGATCATTTTCCAGTCTTCAAATCTTACCTACCCATTATAAGAATATGCCCCAGAGGTCTTAAATGACATTTGGTTTATGGGATTAAAACCAGTTATTTGCAAGAAAGAGAAATATTCATAAACTGATAGAAAATTCAATAACTTCAAAATTCAGAAACACATTTCCTCTCAGTATAGATGTAGTGCCTTCAGAAGAGACCCTCCCATTGCCATTCACACACCTCAAAAGCAGTTCTAAAAAAATCACTGAAGCAAATGCAAAAGAAGTGAAAATAAAAGCACACATTAACAATACTTGTACAATTTAGTACATCAAATACTAAAAACAAACACTAAGCTTTATGAAAGCAATTGCTTTTTTACAGAAATCAATATAAAAATGAGAATGTTCTCATGGTTTCAGGAAGTAGGGAGGGATGTTGTAAACTACATGTTCAGGATGAATGCCATCCTAATTGCTGCCAAATATGAGTCACTGCTTGGTGGTGGATAGTGCAATTCCCAAATGATGGCTAGTGGAAAACTGAGGATGAGACAGAAAGTGAATTAGTCAGTCTATGAACCAGAATATCTGTCTAAATAATTTTTAGTCTCATTTCATAGTGAAGAATAGTCTGCCTCAGGTTTGCAATCTGACCTGATGTGAACAGATCCCTCCAGGGGTTGTCAGACTGAGCTCTCTGTTGGAATAATTCTGGGTTTAAATATCACTCCTCATGTCTGCCAGACTTCAGTTCTGCCAGACCATTTTTGTGTTCAGTGGCTTCCTTTCTGAATCACTACAAAGGAGGCCAGAAGACCCTCCACAAATTAGGTATGTACCTGCAAGTACCCTTTCAGATATTCTGCAGATCAAGGCCTGTGTGAATGAAATTATACTTGGGAAGTTGCTTGAAGAATGAGTAATCTTTCTTTGTGAGTACTGAAAAGACAGGTCTTAGTGGTGAGCATCTGCTGAACTCTGCTAACCGAGCATTACACCACTACAAGCTTCTAGGATATATCAATGAGTAACCTAGGAAAATCTTCCTTCTCCTTTGCATTTCTGACTGAGAATCAGGGTACCATACACAAGAAGATACCCTAAATTCTCTTAAATGTGATCTTGCTCCAGAACATTTGTGTTTTAACTGCAATGGTGTCTGCAGGGTGGAAACAGCTATGCAAGAATGGGCCAGTTCTCTGACAGGGCAGGAAGGTCTTACTGGATCTCTACAACAAAGTCATTTAAGCAGAAATACATTGTAAGCTCTGCAACTTTTCTTGGAGAATGTGTGTATGTGTGGGTATAAACTTCACATTATAGTCTGCAATACACAGAACCATGCCTTTCATATTGCTGCAAAGCTAACAGGGAATTTCATAGACCTTAAGAAAATACGCAGGAAAGACACAGTCAAATAAAGTCTTTTAAAATATTTAATTCTACATACAGATATTATTGATTTGGAACTGTGCCCCACACACATTTTACAAGGGTTTACACTTCTTCTTCAAAGCAAATCCATTTTAAAATGGAAGTTTTTCATATTTGTAACTGATAGCTATGCTAGGTAATGTATAATATTCAAAGCTATTTTATTCCTTTTCGGCTGTCATAGTTTACAGCATCTGCTAAACAACTCACATTTCAACGATTTCTCCTGACAGCACATATTCAGTTCTTGGTAAACTATCATAGGTTACAAAATACAGCTTTAGTATATCTGGTTTATAGTTGTTTAAGGACATTTGCTCTAACTGCAACTTAGCAACGTGATTGATCTATGCGCCTTCACATTCAGAAGGGTTTCTGAGATTGTTAGAGTCAGGAATATGAGAATTTTCAATGAATCTGGCAATCAGACTAACAATGGCAAGTGATGGAAAAATGCACTCACTACAAATGTGTCTTATATATAAAATATTACTTTGATACATAAGATCACAATCTAACATGATTATATTCTGCCCTGCCTGGCAAAACATCAAAGGTATTTCAAAAGGAAAGATACACAAAAAAAGCTGCCTTTTGGTGGTGCTGTTGTCATAGATTCCACCAAAGGACAAAAATGTTGTATAAAAGGAATTAAAATTTGGAATAAAAATACTTTTCACTTATCTTCGAAGAACATAAGAGAAAGCAATAGATACTACTGATTTAAATAATCAGAAAGATACAACCTGGAAACGTATGTATGCATGAAAGTTTAATCATGACAAGAATTTCAAGCTGTCCTTAATTTCTCAAACTACGATATGAGGGTTATTTCTATTGCTTTTCTATATATTGCACTGCTAAAATAAATTGCCTGTGCAACTGGAAGATGGCTACAGATACGTACAAATTTTTCTGCAGTTTGTGCATCTTATTTTGGAAGGATTGATCATTTGCAAATTCTCTTGACTCAAATGATGGTGGCTCTAAAGATCAGTGGCATGAAAACAAAAATGCTTTTATTCTACATAGGTATATTTTCACATAATGTATATATGGAATATATATACATAAGGAGCACTTCTTGGTAAAAACTGGAAGCTGAAGAAACAATGACTTTACTCACTTTAAGTCCTCTGTCATGTATGGCAGGAAACTGAAATTCAGGAGGAACAACCTTCGAACGTGTTCTGATCACTCCAACTAGGCTGCATTTGGATCTCTCAGTGAAGCAGACTACCTATGCATACAGTATCACATTTACTGCACATGTGAATGCTACGTGTGGGGATTCACTGAAAACAGCCATACGAAATTATCTGACAGATTTCTAGACTTGAAAGCCAGAGGGAAGAATGAGATCAACCCATGATCATATGTATATCACAGACTATTAAACTGTAGATCACCAATGAAAACCACTGAACAACATCAGATCTAGAACTGAATGAACTGTGAAGTGGGTCCCTCTGAATATACTCTACTCACAGGTAATTCCCTGCTGACTGCTTTTGATATGTGTCAGTTGAGCCGTTCTAAATTCATCCAAGATGTGCTTTGTCCCTATTGTATGCTGCTCATTTAGAAACAAATATTTACAATGGTCTTCACATGTTACACCTCAGCCATCATCTTTATCAATTTTATCAATAAAGTTAGAGTTGTTGAATCACAGAATGTTAGGAGTTGGAAAGGACCTCGAAAGCTCCCCCAGTCCAACCCCTGCCAGAGCAGGATCACCAGAGCAGTCACACAGGAACAGGCCCAGGCAGGTTTTGAATGTCTGCAGAGAAGGAGACTCCACAACCTCTCTGGGCAGCCTGGGCCAGTGACATATTTGCCATAAAAAGATCTTGACTATCACTATCCATACTACCACCCTTTAAATCTCTTTTCACTGAATCCCACACCAGATTTTTTACTGTTTTGACAATGGTATCACACTAACTGGCCTACATTTACTTTTTCATTTCAGCTACCTAAGTGATTACCAGCACAGCATCACTACTCTCAAAGTCTTCTGAAAGGTTATAATCGTATCAAAATACACTAAAATTGAACCGCAGCATACCAAAAATGTACCTTATTTATGACTACTGGTGCCATCTCAGAAAGGAAAATATGATGTGAATTGAGAGATACTGTGGAGTAACCAACACTGTACTGGTACAGAGAGTCTCTTTACATAAAGGCAGAGGTATCCAGGTAGGGAAGACTGCAGAAGCTGAATTTCAGCACTTTGTCGTAGTGAAGGACTTAAGTGGTTACTTCTTATCTGAGAGAGCTTAGGTTTGCTTTCTCAATTACCTCTTTTAGAACCGAGGTTCTTGCCATTGAATCTGAAAACATAATGTCCACCTTTCAAAATGCAGAGGAGGAACCTGGCAGGACTGGATGTGTAAGACACACCAACACTTCAGTCAGCTGAATGAAATTTGAAAAACTTCTCTCTCAAAGACGTATGTGTTGCCTTTCACACTTATGTAGAGAAAGATGGCCACAAAGGACTATTATGAAAAACTACAGCTATATATTAAATTACTATTTAAATGACCAACCTATTATATCTAAACACTTTTTTAGACTGATGTTATTAGTCTGAAGCTACAGAAGCTGATCAAGGCAGTAAGATCAAAGAACTGCCTCTGCAACCACATTGTGCTTCAGTGAATACTGGAGCAGTACATTTCGCTTTAAAAGTTCATTTTGTTTTAGTCATGTAATTTGTATTAACCACATCTGACATGTCTAAATATTCTTATCAATTTCCTTATAATTAAACTACTCAAAAATTAATGAGACTGCTATTCTCTTTATTTGAGTTCCATTTGTCCAGTCTTACACATTTGCACCATGTTTGAGTCTATGTAGTGAGTACTGAGAAAATGCTTCAGAAATCTGATGAAATCAACTACGTGTAATGTTGATATATCTCAAATAGATAAAAACAACTAATGTTTCTCCTATATCCTTAAAAATATCCATCTCATTTGAAGCCCTCATTTACCAGTACCACAAAGTTCCAACACTGTGTTCATCATTCACCATGGAGGATTGCTGCTAAAGGCCTCTGGTTGGGCCCTAGAGATCCCTGGAGGTAATCTGCACCTCGTATTTTACAGTATTTACCCTACAAGTTTATACTGGGGCAACAGAGCTGTGTTTACTCTCCTGACATTGGATCTGAGTTGTGTTGTGTGCTTTACTTAAGTCACATTCATTGTTTATTACTGTTTCACCTATAATAAAATAAGAACTATGTTGCTGAGATATAAATGGCGTATGAGGTTATCTAGTTTTACAGCAGCTCCTTCAAGTACCTTTATATAGTTGCTGCAATGTTATTCTGTGATTTCGTACATTCGATACTCTTTGGTGGACTGTAACAAATACTCCTCTGCTTCTCATAACAGTGCTCTGTCACATCGTGCAGCTGTGCACGATTTTGTACCACTTTGTACCAGGACAAATAATGATACAAGGTGTAAAATAGAGAAGGTTCACGTACTAAGTGCTCAGAAGTACTGCACATTTTTGCTGCTGTTCTCCTGCTTCAGTCCTTTAAACTGTTAGCTTTTCAGTAATGAGACTTTATCATTGTGAGAAGCAATTATTTTCCATTACTCACACTGTATTGCAGTTGCTGACTGCTGTATCTGGGTTTCATTCATTCTGGAACTATTTTTAAGCACTATATCACACACCTGCAGGTTGTCAGCTGCTATTGTGACAAGCTGTACAGCCTACGTGATTATTCAGGATTCTAGGAAGGAATATATAGAACAGATTTGCTCTTTGTCCATGGTGGCACTACAGAACCTGCTGGAAGCGCACGTGTTTCGGTTGTGTGTTTTACTCTGCAAGTTCTAAAAAACGATTGGTAATGATACCTTAAATTTCAAAGCTACTCAAAAGGAATTTTAATATTCAAGACTTCCGAGTCTCCGAATTGAAAGAAACTATATAGAGAAAATACTGTGGATTTAGACTTACTGGTGGGAAACAAGAGTTCCAGGTTGCTGTATCATCGCTGCTCGTACTCATGCTAACATTGCAGTTGTCTATCTGTGATGCGCTCAGCCCATGTGAGATCCCAGTATCCCTTAATTCTTCATTTTGCTGTCTCTTCATGCTAGCCAGCATCTGTAGTTCAGATGAGCTCAGTCTATTCAACTGGTAGTTTTTCCAGTCATACTCCTGTGAAATAAAATGGGAAAGTCAACAACAGAGGCAGAATCACAGAACAGAATACATGAATTAAACAGACACCTCGGGGAATCTCTTGGGGAATCTTCAAGAAGCTGCAATACTAAGAGAGAAACAAAACATTTACTAGAAAAGGTTAGTTAACAGATTGCTGTTCAGCTATGAAGAGCAAGCATATTTACACATAATTACAGGAAGGAAGGAGAACACAAACACTGCTGTGGACTGTAGTTTGGACCCAGGGTGTTTGGTGAAGTTGCTGTTCTACTGTAATTAAAAACGGCTGATAAAAGCAGGTTTTCAGAAGCTAAAAAATCCAGCAGCTAAAATTGCTTAGGCATTGAATGCAAATCTTGAAACAAACCAAATCACACAGTTATCACAGTATCATAAACACCATCAACATAACATTTAATTATTTGTCAAGCACAGCATAAAATTTATCTGGAAAGCTACGTGTCAGCACTAAATTTTAAAAGTAATTTTGGTAACTTGCTAGCGTATCCATTTTTAAATAAACATCACTACATTTTTATTTTTCTTAATATTCACTGGTTGAATTGTTAAACTCTAACTGGTATATCAAAGATGTTGATCCACAGGCCGAAAGCTAAAAGCAGGTATTAACTATTTTGCAGTTTGTACTTAAGTCTCACACAAAACTCCATGATAAGACTGCTTGAGTTCACGCAACCTGCTGTGGCATCATCTTAGTTTAAAGAACTCCTTCTTAAGGAAAATCTCTCTCTTTTTTAAAGTGTCCACATGGATTGCTGTTTCACAAAGGAACAGGTTTAATACTTGAGGCCTCCAGGGTTGTTTCGGAATGGAATTACAAAGCATTTCTGATGAAAAGCAAATCTAAATAGTGACCAGGACTTGAGAGGATGTAGGTCACTGTGTAGCAGTGTCCCAAAGAGGGACGATGCTTTGACCCTAGAGATGAGAACGGGGCTTTCAGGCCAGGAGTTCCTCACGCTCCTGGCAGTAGGGGCCATCTCACAGCCTGCTTTGCTGCAGGGAGCTGCAGGGTAACTGAAGACCTCAAGAACATGAGCAAGTCAGCAGTGCCAGTGTTATGAACATCGCCAGATCTTCCTGCTATGAAATCCAGAGTATTGGTATTTGTTCACTTCATGTGAAGCCTGTACGTTGCACCTGGAAAGGCTGCTTTGCTCTGACGGATCAGTATTCTACCAGATCTACACCTTCTGTAACTGTTACTGATCTCACTGAAGAAGCTGATTTCCTGCTCATTTTCCTATATAGAAGCCTTCTGCATTTATCTCATTATTATAAGAGAAGCTTCGGCTTTTCTTTCTTACCTCATATACAAAGCGACTGGCATGCAGTCATTAACGTGACAGCACGAACTAGCACTGTGAGAGGAAAACCACACTGAAAGAACATTTTCCTCATTCTCTTTCTATTAAAGGCAGAACGTTGTCCAACCCTGCTTGTCTTCCTTTACATCTATGAACAAAGATGCATGGATTTTCGGAATTCTTACAAAATAACTCAAAACATCTGTTCTTTTTCTATTCCACAGTTTATTTCAAATTGTCATTCTGTTTGCTTTTCCTGTAGTAGTGCCACTGTAGAAACATCATATCAGAAAGAGGAACAGATGTCAGGACAATTTTCTGTCTTTAACATCCTGTACAAGAAACTCCTTGTAATAAAGGAGAAAGTTTGGACTATTTATTCTGTCGCTTCGGATGACTACCACAGAAAAGCCTCTTTGCAAATTTTATGTTGTCTTAGCCAATTTTCCAAGAAAGAATTTGAAAACTGAATTTGAGATTAAGTTCATTTTGTAATTTAGGAGAAACTTTTGATGTCAGAAGCAATTTTGCAATACTTGTAAATTTGTCTAAAATTAATTTTTAATTTAGTAATTAAAAGCTTATCTTGTCTTTTTTGCATATCCTCCCCTTATGATAAAGTATTTTTATTAAGCGCTTAAAACTTTTGCTAGATTGACAAAACCTGTTGTTTAAAGGATTTGTTTCATATATAATGACATTTGCATTCTTCTACGTTCAAATGATTTATTCAGAATTGTTTGACTGTAGTTACACGTGCGGAAAACTTTAATTACCAGCTATCTACATGCTTGCAATATTACCCAGAGGGCTGTACTTCTTTCTTAATTAAAAATATTTGAACTTAATAATAGAGAACTCTATTAAAACATGAATAAAACATTCCAAGCAACCAGGTCCTTAAAGTGTATTAAGTAGTCAGCAGATCGATTGCAAGAAGAGTTGGTTAAACATTCTTTTTCTTTACCAGCCCTCCGTAGGAGCAGATTAGAAGTCTCTGCAAACTCTCACTCTAATGCCCTTCCATATGAAACTCTCCTTTTCATACCTAATTCCTAAAACAATGAACAGTGTTTCAAAATGGAAATAAAATAATTACATGTCCATAGCCAACAAAAAGCCTCCAGTGCTGTCTCAATGTAGTTAACAATATTGTACGTCAGAGCTTCTTTTCCTGGAACTTGTGGGATCTAGAATATCAGTTTCTTCCTGCAAAACTGCTCTGGCAGATATAAAAACAGCTTTACATACGTATGTGGTCAGAAAAAGGCAACATTCAAAATAGCCTATTATAGCAATTTTAAACTTAATGGAAGTATTCTTAATAAAAAATTAATAAAAATATATATTTGACTTTGTTCTGCGCTAGGTGAACGTATTTTCTAATACAACCAACCATTGTTTAAAAAAACAGTCACAGTAGCACACAAATTTGGTTTCAAATTTTGACCGTGGCCTAGTACAAAAATAAATATCAACAGAACTCCAAGGAAAGCCATCTGGATGGGAAACGTTATTACTTGATCAAATCAAGTAGGAGAGCCAAAGCTGCTGAATAATTTCATCTTCTATTTTGTAGTAATAAAACAAAGTCTGTCACTCCTGAGTTTCTATACATTGATAATAGGTTTTGTCCTTGCAAAAAGTATTTACAAGCAACAAATTACACGTGCAATACATTTACAGCTACAAGTGCAGTATGGTAATAGCCCTCCTGTCTCAGCAGAGGGTAAATTATAGCTCTTTTCCTCCATCTTTCAAAACAAAATATCACAAAATAGTTTTAAAATATGTCTAAGAGTTCAAAAACTTAATTGCAAGCCACCATATTTAGTTGTCCTCTACAGGACAAAGTTGATCATTGCATTAAACACTGATGCCATCTTTAAGGAAAGTAATCAACGTATCAGTTCATTTGTCATGGACAAATAGATTACAGTTGTGATTAGTAACAAACACTTCTCCAGAACTGAAAAGAATCAGGCAACAGCGGAGGAATACATTTAATCACAAAAATGTGAATAGTTGCTGGAAATTAGAAAAAACTTAATTCCTAGAGAGAAAAGTAGAAAGGAAAGGGAACTTAAAATGTAAAAAAAGTTGTGGGGTGGAATACAACATAGAGCTGTCAACTAGTAAATGTCACAGGTAAAAATAATAATTAAAAACAAGTAATTCATTGTTTCTTATAACAAACACAGACTGAGAAAGCACCAGGAATGAGTGCATTCAAAACCAATACACGGAAATACGTATTTTTTTCCCCAAAACCGGCAGTTAAACTTTGAAATTCACTGTCACAAGGGAAAGGCCATATAGATACAAAAAGCAACTACACCAATCTGTGGAAGAAAATCCACTGGCAGCTATTTACCACAACGACACCACCTTTCACTGAGGAAATTGCTAGGCTATGGAGTGGTGGAAGGAAGCCTGCAGGAGGTGCTGGCGAGGTGTCGCTGGATGCTGGCTCTGTCCTTGCACTGTTTGTTTGTTCCATAGCCATCCATGACTGACCGCTGCTGGACAGGAGATGCTGCCTATGTCAGCCCTTGGTCTCATCAGGTATTTAGCTGGAGTCTGGAAAAAAGGTCTCTGAAGCCTGAGGCAGAAGTTTGGCCTGTTCTGCTCTCAGATGCTCAGGAATAAATCTAATTTACTCATAACTCATTTAGAGAAGAGGTGACCTGTTAAAAGAGACGGATCTGCAGTAATTCTAAGCCCAAAAGAATTCTGTCCAAACCCTGGGACAGTACCATACTGTTTCATTTGTGATTTACAGAACACACTTGAATCTTGAGCTCCACTTCTTAATTCAAAGCACATCATTATAAGCTGAAAATACAAGAATTAACTATTAGGAAATATTTAAGGACATAAAATTAGCTTCAGACAAACATGTTCTTCACATTAGTGCATATTTCCATAAGGAGAATCCAGAAGGAAAGAACTAGGAATAAACCAACATTTTAGTGACTAACAATTCCCCTAGTAGCCTGGCAATTCAGCCTATGACACAGTCTCACTCCCGGCCCTCAGTCTCAACATTTATTGTTTTTCAGGGCTGACAGAGAAAGACTATGAGGTACATAACAGATTAACACTCCTTTTATGGTCTCTCATTAATATATTAATTCAGAGTCTGTCAAGTTTCTTTGTAATCTTCCAGCCCAAAACTACTTTCTAAGTCATGTATTTCCAAAATATGAGCTGCTCAATGACATCTCTTTTTATCTATAAACCTCTGTGATTTCTGTTTTATTGGAGTACTATTTTGTGTGCCACGAAAAACCTTCAACAGACTGAGCTGAGTAAATACTGTTATGATGAAACTGGAATATATCTGGAAGAAAGACGTATTATTTCTCACTCCATTCAAATGGGTGTATCTAATACAGCTTCTCTGTATAATCTAAGAATTTAATTTCAAAGTAAAAATCACTTACACGGCTCTGTGTAGTCAGACAAGAATTTTCTCTTGAGATTTTCTTGAGAGACTTTTTACTGACAGATGTTTCTAATTGACCAGAAACTCCTTCATATCTTTCAGGTTTTTCAGGTCCGCTTGGAATGACTTTAAAGAATTCAGATTTGCTTCCAGTTGGAGAAAGAGAAAGTGTAGGCTTCAAGCTTCTCTGAGAGCTGTCAGAATCTGGTTTTCTCCCAGCGGAGCTCTGTGGTTTTGGTAAGATGGTCTCTTCGAGGTTATGTTTGCTGTGTCCCTTATCCTTCCAGTGCTCCTTTTCCCATGGCATCCTCTTTACTGGGATCTCTTTAAAAATTGCTGAGTCAGATGTTCCTTGCCTGCTGTCGCTGATGTCAAGGTTTTCAGTACCTTGGATGTATTCATTGTTGTCATCCTAAATTTAGGAAACAAAGCGAGTGATTCCCTCTCATCATCACACAAGACAAGTCTGACATAAACTTAACATTTCAAAATGGCTCTTTAATGTCTGCTGCAGAATTCTAAATTTGCAAGGATTCTGAAAACCAGCCGCTCTCCCTGACAACTAACACTGAGTATAACATGAACATATTCTTACACAGCAAGTAGTAAAAAACAGGATGTAGAAAGAGGAGGAGAGGGGGGCAAGATTAAACTTTTTGAAATGTCAGCCCAAATTTAGAATGCTGGTAACCTCCCAGACCTGTGTGTTACATGATAATCATCACTTCAATAAAATTTATTACAATAGTAAACCAAAAGTAAGCAAAAAAAGTCCATGACGATGGTGTTTTTCCACTGAATTATTAATATTCCATATTTTCACATTGCATCTTCAAATTAAACGTAGAAGAAATAACTCCTGCTGAGATCACTTTTCTCACCTCTGGTAATATCACTGAATATCATATCAGTACCATTTCAATATAATTTAAGAATCTGGGAGGGTCGTTTGTTAACCTTATAATCACACTTCTAACGATGTCTCTGTGAAACGTTGCATGAATCAAGTGTATGAAGTTCACTCATATCCCATCTCCACAACAAAGAGCAAGTCCAAACGCATGGAAATTAAAATAACGGGGAAGCACACCTAGCGTTTGCCTCAGTATTCTTATTCTCAAGGAAGAAAGGATGAGCGAGGCCTCATCTTTATCTCTGCCATATGCTACCACCCTGGACGTAAGGCAGGGTATACTGCAAGATCCAGTAAGACACTGAAATAGCACCTTCAGTACAACTCCCATAGCCGAGGTGCAGTCCTACTGCAAATACAAGTGATGCAAGTTTGTCACTGACTTCAGTGAGTCCAGGGCTGGACTACAGAGGAGAAATGCACATTCGAGAAAAGAATCCCTCAATTTTCTTAAAGAGACATGTTCTGGAAGTTTATAGTTTTATTCCTTCACTTTGTAATTTTCTTCAAGCAGAATTCTGTATTTCCCTCTTTCATGGATTTTTTATTTGCCATAAGCTGTTTTAAAATCTGTGCCAGAAATCCATTTTAAGTTAGATTAACGTAAGATGGAAGATTACTAAAGGAAACACTGTATGTTTTCACCACATATTAGAGATAAATATGTCTTTGATTTCACAGAATCACAGAATGTTAGGGTTTGGAAGGGACCTCCAAAGCTCATCCAGTCCAATCCCCCTGCCGGAGCAGGAACACCCAGATGAGGTTACACAGGAAGGCGTCCAGGCGGGTTTTGAATGTCTGCAGAGAAGGAGACTCCACAACCTCTCTGGGCAGCCTGTTCCAGGGCTCTGTCACCCTCACTGAGAAGAAGTTTCTTCTCCAATTGAAGTGGAACCTCCTGTGTTCCAGTTTGTGCCCATTATCGCTTGTCCTATCATTGTTTGTCACCGAGAAGAGCCTGACTCCATCCTCGTGACACTCACCCTTTAAATATTTATCAACATGAATGAGGTCTCCCCTCAGTCTCCTCTTCTGCAAACTAAAGAGCCCCTGCAGCCCTCAGCCGCTCCTCATAAGGGAGATGCTCCACTCCCTCCATCATCTTTGTAGCCCTACGCTGGACTCTCTCCAGCAGTTCCCTGTCCTTCTTGAACTGAGGGCCCAGAACTGAACACAATATTCCAGATGCGGTCTCACCAGGGCAGAGTAGAGGGGCAGGAGAACCTCTCTGCCCTACAACCACCCCTTCTGATACACCCCAGGATTTATCTGAAGCTTAAATCCCTCCCACCTTTCCATGTCCCTTCAGCCACACATATTTAGGTTCTAGAATAATTTAAATGCTACACCATGAAATGGTGCCGGAAACATCAATAAAGTTTGTTTGATTAACTATAGTGCAGTGTATGTAAACTGAAGATGAGAATGGCTTTCCCAAGGAATGAGCACTTCCACTGATGTATTCCTTGAAGGAACATGCAGAGGAGCAGCTCTGGACACATAAAACTTCTTACTCTTGCGGGGTTGTAATTTTAGGAAAATAATTCCAGTGACTCTGGAAGGCCACCTACTAGAAGATGGGATATAGTCCCTTTGTATAGTGAGCTTTAATACTAAGGTATTGGAGTGAAATTACCTATCTACCTTTGTGAGGGTACGGTATCTTACTTAATCTTATTCCTTTACTCTTTATAATCGTGTAAGGACAGAAAAATTCTCAATTTCTTCACTGAAGGCTTCACGGATGAACTTGCCCGTTACACTTCAAGCAGCATTTCTGATAGCACTATGTGACAGGTGGTCACATCTGCTACAGTCACACAACTCTCGCAAACAGCAGCAGCTCCTGGTTTTCCTTTGGGTTTGACAGAATCTGTAAATGCTGCCGTGGCAAGCTTAATTACACAAAGTCTCACAGAAATCTGAGCTGAAAGCACGGACATTCAGATAATTACAGAATAAGTCACTTGATGGTGAATGGTTCCAAGACAAGAAGCAATTTTTATCCTTTCCTGATTATTTGACTCTCATAATTGAATAACAGCATTGAACTATTTCAGTGACTAAGCAGTAACCACTACAGCGAATTTATAAATACTGGCTGTGTCCAGTTTGCAGGCTGAAACATTTCCTCCTCAAAAGCCCAAAGTTATATAAATCATATAATCCTAGCAGTTATTGTGCATAACTTCTGGCTCTCAGTATATACAACATAGAGAGAGTCAATGTTCCCTTATTTGAAATTTATCCTGATGCATAACCTGCCTCTCATATTTTACAGTTAAGTACACAGTTTTGTAGATAATGCAGCCCAGGAAGAAACTGAGATTTAGCTCCTTTAACTGTAATCTTTTAATTCATGACACAATGACATAAAAAAAATCAAGGAAAACTTCTGGAACTTTTGGACTTTTTGCCAGTCTGAGATATTTAAGCTACAAAGATATGTGAAATAGTATTATTTTTTTAAATTTATGCTTGCATGCAACTTATGCTTACATGCAATTACTTCAATTGTAGGTTGAGATATCGATCATATTTGATATAGCTCAACAGCAGGTACACATCCATGTGTGTTACACACAAACATGATGTGTCTGAATGTCAAAGGAAGCTGTAATACAACGGTGATGAGAAAGCACAACGATAGTGTGAAAACCTGTAACAACGTAGCTTAATTTAGCACGCAAGGGTAAGATATTTTTAAAAAGCACTGCAAGATTCAGCATGACTTAGTCAAATATTTTGTCATACACATGAAGTAAACTGGGAAACATGCTATGGTTGGGCTAAAGTATTTTGGTCATTTTGCAAAGATACCTTAAACTGTGCTAAAACAGATACTATTAAGTTAGCAGTCTTACGTTCAGCTATCACGGCTTTTCCAGGATCCTTTTCCCTGTATTCTCAGTGCTTGAAATAAAACTATTTTCTAGTTTCATTCAGTAATGCAAAGTAGAGCAATCTGAATATTAGATGTGTATCCAGAGTGTCAGTATAAAGCTGACTTCAAGGAGCAACACAGAATGTATCGGTACAAGGAAGAGGATGAATATGGGCAAAATACGACTGCTAAGTAATTTGTTGGTTCAGTGACTTCTTTCACATGAAAGAAAAGTTTAACTATGAATTACTAATGTAGTAGTTAGATTGAGAAAAAAACCTCTTGATAATTTGTTAGCATGCTGCAGATTTGTTTAACGTAATTATCTTCTAGCTTTGCAAGTCTAATGCATCTCCAGCTGCAGTGCTGATGCTATTTAATGCAGCTTGCACCCAAAGATATGAGTGAAACAAAGGCTGCTCCCTAGTACACCTCTGCCACATCGTCAAAGAAAGGGTTTTAGTTTATATACCACCTTAAATTGTTTTAAGAAGACAGGGAACACCTGTCAGATTCTCTGGCACCACGTCTCTAGAATGGCCGTTAACGTTGTGTCCCGATGCTGTTCTTGTGTTGTAAAAGCAAGACTTGGCTACGGCTTCCTCTTCGTGCACCTGGCACTGGATTCTGGGAGAAGCTGATGGCATGGAAGGTAACCCGTCTTCTTCAAGAACGGCTTAAGTACCAGCAAAGTTCAGTGATTAGTGTAGCTTTTGATTAATTTATATACATTTGTCTTGCTTTAGAGCTCATCACTTAAGCATGCTACATGCACTGTATTTTCAAAGACACTTTATTTTCACTCGTTTATCATAGCGTGGCCTTTACTGTTTGGTACCTCTTCAGGAATTTCCATTCACCATTTTTACACTCTTTTGGAGATGTATCTTTACATCCTTTAACTCCCCTTCCTTCCCCCTCTCCAAACAAAAACAACAACAAAAATCAAACAAAAACCAATCAAATTGGAAACTATGGAAGCTGAGTAAATGACAGTGGTGGAAAGCTTCCATAATTCTTATGTTATGGAAATGTTTTCTTAACCTAGCTCCTACAATAACCTCTCAGGCTTTTCATGAGCACAACAGACAAAGAATTCTTTGCAATCCAAGCAGTTTTATACCTTCAGACTGGTATTCCATATAGCACTGCTCACAAACCATTATCTTGACTAAAATGGATCTAATTCTGGAATTTTGTTTAAAATAACAAAGTCTTATGGGTTTCAGTTAACAATACACTGCCCCAGATAACAGGAAAACAACTACAACTACAGAAAAAAACCGAGAAAAAGAATTATTTCTTAGAAATAGCATCAGCAATTTGGTTTCTCAGAAATACAGTACATCAAGCAGGATTTCTGTTAAGTTCATCTATATCTATATGTAATTTGGTTGCATTTTATTTCTCAGCTATGAGCAACAGATTAGAATGTTAAGAAACAGATTTTCTAATTAAAAATGAAATACAATGGAATGTTCATAAAGGTAGAAACTTTCAGCAGTCACTGTAATGACTCAATGCAACTATTCGGTCATTGACAACTTGGTGAATTTCTATATCGTATCAGCTGATATATTTGTTAGAAAAAATTCCTTTTCTTTCAAAAGAATTGAAGTTGGTGACGCTGACACAGCTCAGACAGGGTATAAAGCAGAAATACCAATCATCAAGTGACATTAAAAAGCTGAAATTTCTTAATTCACCTTCAACAATACTGGTGAGCAAAGGAGTCCCTGCTTACAGTTTTAAAAGGCACAATGAAGCCTTATTAACTGCGCTCTTGCTCAACCATAACAGACATAACACCTCGCTCAAATCTGTGATGCAGGCTTTCCTAAAAATCTTTTCTGCTGTAATGATGCACGATACTCACATCTCTCTGTTAGCACAGGGGCTGACAGAGTTAGGTTTCTTCTGTCCATTTGTTACAGAGGTTACATCTGCACTTTTATTGCTGTCTCCAGTTAGACATCAAACCTGACAAAGACAAACCTACCCGCAGGTATATGGGGAAAAGATGATTTATCCTCTCTGTCTAGCTTGAAGACAGAATCTCATCTTAGGAGTCTTAGGATGAAGACTACTTTATCAAGAATTACATGTACAAAGTCACCTACCTCTTTACTGCTGTCATTTCCTTGAAAGTTCTCTTCAATTTGGATTTGCCCATGTACTCCGTTACTGTCTTGCTTCAAATCCACAGGAAAAATGCAACATTCTGGTGATATATCTGAAGACTTCCCATGAGGAGCTGATCGAGGTGTTGATGAAAATATGAAAATCTCTTTATTATTCCCTTCATGATCAACTGTTTCACTGCTGTGATGCTCCAGAGAGGCGTTCTGTGGTGAGCTTAAATTATGGCAGGCTGAATCTTCAGCGGCTATGAACTGCTCACTCCTTTCCGACTGAATACTTTCAGTGAAACTTTCTGGAAACACCCATTCATCTGAAACACACAATGTTTACTTCAGTGCCAAATATGTAAATTGTATGTTAACCTCATCGCTCGAGTTTTCTGGAATTTGTACAGCAAAACAAGTTTTTCTAATACAGAAACACTCTGCTTATCAGGTTCATGAGGCTGGAAGAGTGACAAGGATGCACCAAAGAAGATCAGGCTGCTTTCTAAGTGAGGTGAGGTTAATGAAAACATTTCCAGATCACAGCTCAAACAATCCACAGGCTATGATATATAACGTGCAAGCCTTCACAGAATCCCAGAACGTTAGGGATTGGAAGGGACCTCAAAGCTCATCCAGTCCAATCCCTCTGCCGGAGCAGGAACACCCAGATGAGGTTACACAGGAAGGCGTCCAGGCGGGTTTTGAATGTCTGCAGAGAAGGAGACTCCACAACCTCTCTGGGCAGCCTGGGCCAGGGCTCTGTCACCCTCACTGAGAAGAAGTTTCTTCTCCAATTGAAGTGGAACCTCCTGTGTTCCAGTTTGTGTCCGTTACCCCTTGTCCTATCATTGTTTGTCACCGAGAAGAGCCTGGCTCCATCCTCGTGACACTCCCCCTTGAAATATTTATAAACCCCAATGAGGTCTCCCCTCAGTCTCCTCTTCTGCAAACTAAAGAGCCCCAGCTCCCTCAGCTGCTCCTCAGAAGGGAGATGCTCCACTCCCTTGATCATCTTTGTAGCCCTACGCTGGACTCTCTCCAGCAGTTCCTGTCCTTCTTGAACTGAGGGCCCAGAACTGGACACAATATTCCAGATGCGGTCTCACCAGAGCAGAGTAGAGGGGGAGGAGAACCTCTCTCGACCTAATCTGCAAATCTGAAACTATTTATTTAGCTGTTAAGATTTGAAAATGTTCAACTTAATTCCATTCTAGAAAGCATAATTTTATGAAACCTGGCTACTGATCTTTTTCTGTAAGCACTTCCTGTGGCTGACATTTAAAACAAAATAACCACACATAGTTAGTGGAAAGTTCATACTACTACAATCTGCTGCTGCTTTATTGCTGAAATTCGACACTTTCTTTTATGCCCAGAACTTACAGTTTAAATCTCAATTTCAAATTACAGTCGTGATGAAAAATAGTGTGACATGAAAAATGTATGAAGATATCTGTTTCACCAAGTTTCCCTGAATACAGGCAGTACTAATCTGCCAATTTTAAGTCGAACAATAAACTACAGAAATGGGTTAAAAGATTGAGAGCACCAGATAAACATGAAAAGGCCGTTTTTATGCTCTTATTGTTAACTTATATTTTACTGTTTGGAATGATGGTATAGAAAGAAATGTCAATTTGATTGATTAAAACCAATCTCAAACAGCATCAGAGAAGAGAACTGTTCAAGTATGCAACACTCCCTTATCTTCATTAAAGGTAGTGTGGTGTGGATTATTCACTAGATCTTGAAACTTTCTGGCTCCATAAAACTTTTACCACCACTGGTATTAAAAAAGCCTCAATAAAAATACTAAAAATGTAATAATAAAGTAGCGCTGCAATAATAAAATGCTTGCCGTCACAGAAGACAGTTAATTTACTACCGTATTCTCCTCTTTCTAGTTTTGTTAGAGCCAATTATCACGTCAGGCAGATTCAGCAGCTTTGCAGGAAAGAAAGAAAAGAAAAAAAGTAGTTTGAACACCATAAATGAAGGCAAAAGGAAGGAGAAGAAGGAGAACACCAGGAGAAACAGCCCTCTTCTTACTGGGCTGCTGTGATTTTTCCAGTTTACTGAAGATAGCTTGTAAAGCTGCCAAACTCCAGTTAATACCCAGTGGTTAGTGGTACGAAGCAGTGAGAAGTAGGACCTGTACTTTCATGGCTTCCACCTTCTTGTTCCAGAAGAGACGACTTTTCAGTCTCTACATGAAGATCATCTATAGTCAAGAAGCCCTCAGGCTACACAGAAATGCCACTAAAACGTTACTTATCCCCAAACTTCAATGGCTGGACAACTCTCCTGTATGTGAAGAGATCTTTCCCTCCGCTATTCTGGATGCTAAGTCTAAAATGCTTTTAACTCTTTTTTTCATAAGGCAATGATAGTAAAATTTTCAACTTGCTGCATTTTCAAAACAAAAAGATATCTTACCTACCTAAGAAGATATTTGGCTTTTTTGCTGTGTTTGATATTTTAGTATTCTGCAGCCTTCTGACCAGTCCAGCATCCACCCTTCCCCAGTTTAATCTAGACACATTTTACTTGGTTTCAATGGCAAGATGTAGAAAATATTCTTCTTCAGTGTTCAGAAAGCCTTTTCCCCCATCATGTAATTACATGTGACCTGTATCACGCTGTCTTTGCAGTTTTCAAACACGCAGTAATAGCTCAGACCACTGCAACGAGCCCTCTACGGCATGGTTATACATTTAGTGTACAACCCACTTGATGAGGGTCTGCTCATTTGTATGCACAAAGGACTGTGAATGAGTCACTTCATTTTTATTACGGCCTCCTGACAAAACAAAAACCGACTTCCCTACCCGCAGTCTCCCGTTCTCTTTTCATTCTAGAATGACTTCTAATGCAGTTGTTGCTGTTTAATCCGCAGAGATCATTACAGAAAGAATTTTATAATTAATTCTGAAGCAAAAAATGGTGTCAAACCACTTGGTTTTTGTGATTTCAAGTCAATTTTGAATTAAGCATCAGAATATAAAAGCCCTAAATAACAGTTTTTGTCAAGTGCTTAGAGAAGAGGAGACAATTAGAAGCTTGAACTCCTGGCTTTGACACAGGCACCCAAAAACTTCTCACACATCACTTTACTCACCGCTGTGAGTAATGTCTTTACCCAGATCAGAAGTACTCCAGAAATATAAAGAATGACTTTAAAAGATTTAGTGTCTGCGTAATATTTCATCTGAATACTCTGCTTTTTCAGTCTAAGCTTCTCTGTAAAGAACAACATTTGTTTCCAGAGAAGTTGAAGAAATGTACCTGGGTTAAATTAAATGCAACTATTAGTTTGTATACAAGAGTACTCATTCTTAATGAAATATACAGGGGGAAGACAGAAAAGTCTGTAAGGCTTTAAGATGACATTTTATACTGGCTTTGGAGTTCAACAACTTCTGTAAGCTGCAGTCAGTGCACCATTTTGTTCACAGTTTACAAGTAAATGATATAGGGTGTTCTGGACCAAACCAAATCCCATTATCTCTCCCCCACAAACTAAACTGGAGCTTCTTTTTAACTCAGCATTTCCATGTCAATGGTAATGAACAATTTGGAGTATCTTCTTAGCAAAATATGCAAATTACTATGTAATCACAACATTGCAGCAAACAAGATAAATGCAAGAATGATCACCTAAACATCTAATTAGTTCTTCTACACAGTCAGACTTATGCTAAAGCTTCTAATTGCTGCCTAACATTTTAATGAAGGTTTCAGCATTGCATAAATAAGATTGACAAACTACAAACAATGCTCATTCATTTTATTTTTTTCCTTGCTTAAAAACAATTTACCTTTGTAAAAGTACTGCACACCTGCCATAGAAGACATGCTGATGTGAGTTCTATAATAAATCTAAAATACCTTATTATAAATAGCAGTGACTAAACTCTAAGATAATAAGATCACCTATGAAAGCTTCCCTATGAAATTTAAATTAATTGACTCAAGCTAATGGCAGAAGAAGTACAGTACTATCCCAAGATCACCACAGGATATGGTTGCACAGGGCTCAAGAATACGAAATGCCTGGTGATAAGTGTATGGTAGAGTCTTGTTGATACGACCTGTTTTGACCAGTGTAAACAGGGAGCCAGAAACCAGGTAGGCTTGCACCTGCATGGGGAATGTGGTCTTGTGCCAATGACTTGTCATAGGTGTTTGTACATCAACACTTTGTCAGAGTGTCAGGACTGGAAGTATTAGAAAGGTACTTGTTTCTAAAATGCAAATGCAAATGCAAAACCAGCTTGGTAAGAAACAGCAGAAGCGTTTTTGTTCTCTCATCTGATAATGTCAGTGTATACTTCACTTTCTTCTGTACATGATTTGTACAGTATTTTATGCAGCTGTATTTGTTGAATGGTGTAATTTTATTTAAAATTATTAGGTTCCTCATTTTTTGGTAGATGTTTCTGCTTTTGAATTTCCCCCCCTTCGCTGTGAACTTTTCCTCAAAGGATGCCTGTCCCTCTCTGAGGTCAAGTTTATCCCTCTTTGGAAAAAGTTGAGAACAGAAGAGGACTTTCCTTGATGAAGAGGCTGTCTACAGGAAGCTCTTCAACTCAGATGAATCCAGTACTACAGGATAAAGAAACCGTTAAGTCATCCGCATACAGCTGGACATCTTCATGTCTTGAGAAGAAACTGAAATCTGCAAACTGAGCAACCAGTGCTAAGCAATCAAGATATGGAGAAAAAAATTTTCTCCAAAAAAATCTTCCTCAGTTCTCAGCTTCTGAATTTTCAATAAGGCATTTAGACTTGCCAGCCTACTACCCTAAGTCTGTCTTTTCATATCAGACAAATTTACATAAAATAACAAGTGTTGATTCATTTTTCTGAAACTCTAGCACTACATAGAGTCCCTGGTGTTCAAGATGAAGAACAAAACAGTGATTTCTGCCTCAGAATTCAGGTAAATAGGAAGTAATTTAGAAATTCTCCAGAAGGTTCTACTTGTCTTAGCATCTTGCATCTGTTTCAGTCAAATTATGAAATCTATGCAGCAATTATGGATTACTGACATTGTCATAGTGTATAATTCCTTCTAAACATCTCAAAGATTAAACAAAATGGAAGTAACTCACAATGCAAAGGACCATTTATTTAGTATATTTTGAGCAGACGTGAACAGTCTGCACACTTTACAAGTTGGTGGCTATACCTTTTAATAGAAAGTAGCACTTTCATAGAGACAAGGGCTATTTTTGCCACAATAAAGTACTTTCCAGGCACATGCAAAACAAGTTGATTGACACTGTATGACAAAAAATACTCACACCTTTTGGCAGATAGGTGTGAAAGGAAAAAAATAAACCTCAACATAAGCGAGGTGTCTTTCTGTTAATAAAAAAAAAATAATTTGCCACTGAACCGTAAAAACAAAATAAAAATCCCCCGCTATTACATGGGAACCATACTTAATATCCTAAATTCTTATCTGGGACAAGTAAAATTTCTCACACATTTGATGTTTGGAGTCTTTAGCGTTAAATTTAATAGTGATTTAAAGAATAAATTATTTTTAGTTCTTTCCCTTTAATGATGAGAGCACGGAATTTTTGGTTTTTTTATTCACTCACTGCTCTGGTACTCTGCTTAATCCTGCAAATCTCTATCAAGGCTCAAAAGCAATTCTGTAGCAGGGTGTTTGATTTTCATAATCCCCCACAACACAGACATTTATATTTTATGTGAACTGCTTCTGGGTCCTTCAAATTTCACAACACAGTGTCCCCCTCGCCACACATAACCGAGATGTAAAATAACACCAAATGAGCACCATACCACTAGTTATCTCCGCTGTGTTTTCGGCTGCATTTTTCGGAGATAATCTATGTCTGTTCTTTTCTGCTGATGGTCTTTGTGGTAAGGTGAGCTGAAAGTCTGCTCTTCCACTCTCTGAGGTTTCCTGAGTCTGAATTGCAGGGTCTGAAATACAACCCAGAAGTTTATGAAATGCATGTGAAAGCTTATATTGTGTGCTTTTCTTACTTGAGGCATGGAAAAACAGCATACAGAGCACAGTCCTGGGATACAGATATCTTCCAAACAGCATGGGAATTGGAATACGACAGTCACAAGAAAGTAAAAATTTAACAGTAAGCGTGGCAGGAGGGAAACCACAGAAGTTATAAAAAACAGGCTTGCAAAAGTCTGCAAAATCATCAAGAACCACGGCAGTAGCCCAGTTATGTACACAGCATGAGGGAAAGCTGAATACACGGGTAAGCTGTGGCTACTGGCAGCAGGTGGTGATCCCTTGCTCAAACACCATACGTATTTGTATGCCACTGCAGAGAGAATGAGCATTTATTCAAGCTCATACAGGAAAGCAAGTCGTGATTTAATACAGAAGTCTTCATTAATTAACAAGGTAGACAAGGTTTCTGAACTGTACAGAATCTTTGCTTTATGCTCTTACCATTCTGACATACATCTTTAGTTGTTTGGTGAGAATTTCTCTTGCTTTCTTCAGCTAAAGAGCCAAAGCATGGTGAGAATGACAGCTCCAGTCTCTCAACGTCTTGCACGGATTCAGTTTCCTTTCCTGAACTTTGAAGTTGGCACGATTGATTACTTTTGCTACCAATAGTCTTTGTTACCTTGAAAGACATAATTTTCTTAATGAAAAACAAAAATGTAACAGCTTTCAAAACACTCAAAGGTAAATGCATATTTTGAATTAAGCTTATTTTAAAATAACATTACCAAATCTATTAAAAAAAACCAACCCAAACTATATTTTCAGAAAACTTTGTGGTAGGTACAGTTCTTTGTGGTATTTTCAGTCTTGAGAGTCTAATACCAGGCAGGGTTGGTTTTTTTTTTTTTCACTGAGTAAAATGGAAATAAAGCAAAGGAAAAAATTATTAAAATTCACCACCCGGATAAAAAGATAGTGAAACTTGTGGCTATTGTAGACCTCAGAAGGGGTCCTTTCTTCTGCAGGGAAAGGAATCTCATTTTATGTCTTAGCTTTCAATTGACTTCCTATTGAAGATTCTACTTCCTTAGGCTGGATCCTTTATTCACAATGTTAAACTGGGAATTTGAGTCCTGATCAGACTCCTAAAACCTGCACAATGTTTGCTGGCAGAGCGAGACCAGCTGTGTTCCCTGGCACTGTAACTGGCAGCATCACACAGGCTATTGTCTGGCTGACCATCATCCACTCAGAGCATACTGAAATACAGTTTCTGCGTCATAAAGAAAAGTATTTACACGCACAAATTTCAGCAGTCTAGAAGAAAAACTTCAGAAAAATACGAATGACATAAAAATCACTGAGTAATTTCAGTAGCAAGAGACCTCTGTTGGCCTGATGCTGAAATGAGATCAGCTTGTTCCAGTCGAGTTTTGACATTCCCCAATCTCCTATGACCCTGTTCCAGTACTGAAGCACTTTACTGTCATACCCAATCAGAGCTTCCCTGCAATTTGGGTCTGCTGCCTCTTGTCCTTCTTTGTGAACCTCTTAGAAGAATCTGGGTCTGTATTACACAGAATCACAGAATTGCTCGGTTGGAAACGACCTCCGAGATCATCACGTCCAACCACTCCTGTCTACCCCCTAAACCATATCCCTAAGTACCTCGTCTACCCGCTCTTTAAACACATCCAGGGATGGTGACTCCACCACCTCCCTGGGCAGCCTGTGCCAGCTTCTGACGACCCTCTCAGGAAAGAACTTCCTCCTTATCTCTAACCTGAACCTCCCTTGGCACAGCTTGGTGCTGTTTCCCCTTGTTCTATCCCCCATCACCTGGGAGAAGAGACCAGCACCCACCTCTCTACAAGCTCCCTTGAGGCAGTTGTAGGTGGTGATGAGGTCTTCCCTTAGCCTTCTCTTCTCCAGGCTAAACAACCCCAGTTCCCTCAGCCGCTCCTCATAAGGCTTGTATTCTCTGCATTAGTTGATAGTATCAGCTAGATTCTCCCTTAGCTTTCTCTTCTGTGGGCTGAACAGACCCATGTCATGTGCTACAGCCACCCAAGCATTTTCCTTGCCCTCCATGGGATGTTCCAGCACCTCTTGCACTGAGGTCTATGACTGAACACAGAACCCCAGACCCAGCCTCACATCGGGTCTGAAAAACACTTCAATGTGACTCCTCTGCTTGTCAATCTCCTCCTTGTAGAAGTGCAGCAGTTTTGTAATTCACACCTCCTTACCTCTCCAGATAACCTTGTACTGATTCTTCTGTTTGAAGATGGAGGTGGCCCCAGGATCTTTGATCCAAACGCAATGTGTGACACATCCTGAGTTTTACTGCTGCATAGATTGCTTTGTCCTCTATTAATCAAGCTACCTAAGTTCAGAAAAATGATAAGTTTTTAAAAAAATTACAGTACTTACAAAGAATCAACTTTAATACTTTTTTTAATCAACTGAAATACAAGAATTAAGAATATTAAACATACATTAAAACTATGCTCCTTTATAGCACTTCCCTTAGAAATACGCAGGAATAGCAAATGCGTATTTTATAAAAGTGTGTCAACATACAAGCAAGAAACTTTTGCTCTATTATACAGACACATTTCTAATCTCCTTGCTTTAAAGATTTATTTTAAAAGTGGTTATTTATGAACAAAAAAAAAGTTGATTTGCATGATTTCTTTAGAACTTCAATGAAAACCTAACTTCTGACAGGAAGAAAAAACGAATTAATAAATAACAGAATAAATAAATAACAGCGTAAGAAAACTGAGGCGACACTGTCAAGGTATCACTCACAGCAGAACTATCTACCTGCAGCTTGCTTTTTGAAATTACTGAATCTCCTGTATTACCAGGGCTGAGCCCTAATATTGCAAACACAGTCTAGTCCTGTTAAAGCGTTCTATCCCTTTCATTATTTACTGTTTTACTGTTTAAAATGTAGTTATAGTTTTATAATCCTTTTCAAGCATGGAAAATGCCAACCAGACTGCAAGACAAAAAATAACCATGGAAGGCAGGTGAAAGTTCTGGAAAAAAAATTAAAAGGGAAGGACAGTAAGATGGTTATGTATTAATTTTATCAGCAGGGCTGCAGAACTGCACGTCATAGCTGCTTTCCTTCTTTTTAGTTCTCCAGGATTGCCAGTGAATTCTCCTTTCCAGGGCTGATAAAAAGGGAACTTCCACATTCATTTATAGTTAAAATTTAGAATGTCTGAAGGTTTTTGTCTTGCTACACCACCAGTGTTAAATTGCTATCTCGCTTTAGAGATCTGACGCCTTCATGAAGCAATAAAGTAGGAACAAAACATTTTGTCAATTCTTCCAAGCGTCTTTCATACAATTATTTAATCTTATTTCAAGATCAGCTTTATTGCCAGTGTCATCAAGGAACTAAAGAATACCATGCATTAGCCACCAAAAATCATAATTTACTGTACTAATAAGCACAAAAGAAGCCACTTTCTGTCATTACCTTCTCTCCTTCTTCCTGATGTGACATTTGGTTGCCGTTAACAGCTGCCATTTCACAAGATTGGATGACCCTTCTTGGTTTAACATCCATTTCTTTAATTTGCTGACTACCTTGGGATGGTGTTAGCTCCAATTATAAAAGCTGATTTGCATGAAAATCTCTCTTTATGAACACATTAATTGACTGCAATTAATTACCTACATCTACACATAGCAGTGTGTTGATGGCATAATGAAATAATATGTGTAATTAAAAGTGGATGATACTAAAAATAATTTGGGGTTTTGATTCTCGTCTAACAAAAAATTTAGCAAATAAAAAGAACATTTGCCAATTAAAATGCACTTAAACACGGCAAAGCTTCCATTTTCAAGAAGGTCAACTTCTGAAATTTGAAAAGCATGTCTGGAAACACAAGCTGTGTTCATAAGATGGAACCAAAAATGAAGATTAAACCTGAAGGCATGTAATTTTCAGGTCAGGGATGTTATTAATTATTTTACTCTATATATACACACCTAAGGGCTATATGTCCTTGTAGTCTGGACAGTAAAACCTGAGCCTTGTTTTAAATGAACATTTGTTTTTCTATTTAGATACATCATTCACACTATTGTACTCATTTCAGTTTTACAATTTTGACTGTTCAACCAAGTATCAATTTTTTGACACAGTGACTGAGAAACTGAATTCCAGAGTTTCCTTTGCTATTTCAAATGCAAACTTATAATCAAATTTCACAACAGAAGTTTTGCTTGGCTACTTGTAGGGCAATAATAGTCTAAAAATACTATTTGCTCTTTAATATTACCAAAATGGTACTTGCATGTTATGGTACTGTGGATGATAAAAATCCTTAAGTTGTTTTTTTCATATTGTGGTAAAAGCAGAAGAAATTGTAAAAGTATTTTCTTAAACCTTTCATATTGTCAAGGTGTTTCTCAAAGAAATACTTCTTTCAAAGTTTATTTTTCTTTAGAGTTTCATGAGATGCTACATCCTAAATACTATTGTTGGCTGCAATAGAGTTGTCTTTTATAGTACCAAACTTCAGTAGTTATCATTGCCTGTAATTTATCTGATTCCTTTAAAATGATTATTCAATGAATTCAAACACTAAAGATGAGAATCCTCAAGACTGAGAAAGTACTAAAAGCAGTGGAATAAAAACGTATCTTCCTTACCTACAGCACCACTTCTGACATTGCCGACACGGATGAGGATGTATTAGAAATTGATATTTGTATCCAATTTGCTTGTTCAGACCCACTTTTAAGCTACTTCAGACCTACTTTCTTCCCCAGAGATGTTCCACTACCCTGTTTTAGTGTGATGAATCAATAACTCATAAAAGGTGGTTCAGAGTAAAGGGAAAAGGAAAAACTTTAGTAAGACATTGCAATTATTGTTTAGGCCAAATTAAAGGCTCAATTTTGTGTCTCATCCAGAAGCCAATAATAAAGTTAACAAAAGAGTAAAGAGGGTGCCTAGAGAGAGAGATTTCACCTGTGTGAGCTTTTTTTAAGCTCTAGCAGTAAGAAGTCTATGTACTTCTCAAGTTTAAGCTGAAAATAACCATTGAGTCAATATTTTAAGGGGGAAATTATCAGATCTCCATGAAGGACATGAACAGCAGCCTCATTTTAAAATTTATTATAACCCTCCCTTTGAAAGAAGTGCTTGCACATATTCCAGGATATTTACTGGTGCAAATGGATGTACTGAGTAACTTTTTTAAAAAAAAGTACAAGTTAGTTATGTGCAACTGGATTTACCAAAGCAGTAATATCCTGGGAGTGAGGAAATTATATTTTTGATATGTTTAGAATTCTAATCAATGAAATGTACCACCAGTGAAAAATACTGGCCTTTTTGACATTGATTTATTTCCTGATTGGAAATGTAGCTGATGTCTTCAAAACTCAACAACTGATTTAAAAAACCTGGTTTTGTTCAATCACAAAAAAAACCTGTCAGTAGGTGAAAATTTTCCAGTTACCTTTAGAGAACTACTGTCTGTGAATAATTTTACAACTACACAGCTCCATTAATGAACACAAACAATCTATGCTTCTTACTCTACTGCAGTCATTTAATGATGATCTATCTCACGACAAAATTGCTTTAAAGAGACATTCGTTACTTTGAATCAAACATTAAGGACTGTGAAGACATTTGCCTTAGTGAAGTTTTGCTATTGACTTTATTCAGGTAGGAAGCAATACCCAGTGTAAAAGCAAAACAGCAGCTTTAGTAAAAAGCAATGAATTGTCTGACCCAAGTCTACTGAAGCAATTTCACATTCAAATCTTGGCGTTTGCTTCTACCATTCCGTTTCTACTGATTCTTGGCTTACAAATCTTAAGACAGACAGACATGACAACTTAAACACAAAACCAGTGCTATTTAAGAAGTGGTCAATAATCTGTCTAACATCCAATTTCAAATAGTGGCCCAAACCAAATGCTTCATGAATTGCACAAGATCATTTCAGTAGGGTTTTATGTAATAATCTGCCTTCAACATAGTTCTTAGAGTAAGGCTGGAAAAAACCTAGAAGTACAAGATTAAATTCTCCCTTCATGTTATTACTGGTGTTAAATATGACATGGACATTACTCTTAGTCACACAAATGGCCAACTGATTTTGAAATCATATCAATTTCTTTACTTCACCAGCTTATCGTAGCAGTGGCTTCACTATTTTAATCACATTCTGCGTAACATGGTATTTTCTTTTATCAGTTTTTAATTTTCAACTGCATCATCACGTCAAATGTCTTGGTTTTATGCCATGAGATAGGAAAAGCAGATTGTTTTTTTGAACTTTCTTTGTATCACTAGTTACTTTATAAAGTCCCTTAAGCCAATTTTTAATGTTTTCAGCATATCTTCATGTAAGTTTTTCATTCATGCTGCTTCTCTCTGATTCACTTCTCTGTCTGTAAAACCTTTCCTGAGATGGTTCAACTGATAATGTACACAGTATTTCAGATAATAATGCAAAATGGATTTAAAGGTTTGATACATTTTCCATTTCATATGAATTTGAACTTCACAGTATCTTAGTTTTTCAAAAATGAAGCTACATATTAATCTGAGACTTCCACTGAGCTATATCTATGGTGATGATAACCCTCCTTCCTTAAGTCATTTAATTTTGACACTTTAAAGCTTAACTTCAGTTAACATTTCTCCCCAATACAATGCTTTGCATTTAGCAAAGCTGGATTTTACATTCTGTTGTTACACATTTACCTTGTACAGTGGTCCCTAGATCGTAATTTTTCAATACAGTAACCACAAGAAGTAAGAACAGTAAACTGAAACTCTGTTTAGCAAAACATGACATCTCCTGCATGGTACCTGCTCTCCAGTGTTTTTCATGAAAAACTGCATAGAGGATTGTCCATCTTAAAAGTTTTAAACACTCTGAAGTCCCACTATTTACTAACCTAGTCTCTGCATTATATGAAAGTTTTGCTCCCACATTATTCACTTCTCTTTTGAGATTATTCATAATTATAATAAAACAATACCGAGCCTAGAACAAAAAAAAGATGAGGCCTTCTGCTTGTTATCCTTCAGCTATAATACACTGAAAAATTTGATCCTGTTTGCTTTCTGTCTCTTAGATTTTACCCGTCAATAGTTTGTATTTTGGCACACGACTGCCTAACTTCTTTAATAAATTTCTTCTATGTCATGCTGTCAAAGTCTAAACTATGTATTTTATTATATTTTAGCTTACAGAAACATTCAAGTAACTCCAAGACACCAAAAGACAAGATTTCCTTTTTCAGAGTATAAGCTGAGGAGACTACACGTGGTAATTTTGTTAGCAGAGTTTCATTAATGTACACATACTTTAAGAAGAAGTGTAACAACTGAACAACCACACTTCAGTGTCCATTCAGAAGACATACCTCAAATATTGTTCTTATAAATCCTACGCTTGAATTAGAATTGTCCAGGCTGTGCACAGGTCTCAGACTATAGAACAGATGTGTCTCTGTGCTCAAGATACTACAGCTATGGAAGAGTGGTCATGTTTTATTTTAAGACACTGGAAGTCTTAACATGCACTTTACAAAAGATCCATTATTTACATGCATACTGTACAGATTGTATTCACAGTAATTTAACACAACAGAATACCTGTGTCTTGCACTGTTACTGGATGTTTCCTACATTTTACTTCTGACTTGTGAATTTTAGTCAGGTTCAGCACTTGTGTAACTTGTGGCACATCTGTATTCAGCTGGCAGGTTCGAGGAATAATCTCTGTGGGCTCACATGGCGTAAACGGAACAACACTCACACCTAGAATAAAAAAACCACGGGCTTTACTTCACTCAGATGACATAACGGAATTAAATTCGACTTATTTGTTAGATTGCATACGGTTCATATGGTTCTAACAATGTAATACATAACAGTAATTAGAAAAAATTGCTGCAATGTTCATTTTTAAGACAAAAGGCATGTAAATTTTAAAATGATACTGTGGTATTTTTTTGGCCAAAAAATTTGAATACATTTAAACTAGGAAATATGCACCATCAGCTGGAATGGACATAATAAATCAACTTATTTGATTAGGCAAGTGAACAAGCAAAACAAAATAATAATAAAAACCTGTTAATTTTTATTACAACTGTGCTTTATTTCTAATACTGATTTGTAGACAAAATGAACATCTGAAAATGGGATTGATATCAGTGGGACTGAAGTAGCAAAGAGAAAGTCCCATATATGCAAATAAAGAATTTGACAAGCTTTCAGTCTAAGCTTTGGACACTATTACACTTTCACGACAAACTAAAAAGCTGTCACCCTATCTATTCTGGTGACACAGGCACAGGAGAATGTCATCTGATTGTCCCTGCTTTTCCTTTGGTAGCTAATACAGACCAAGTTTATTAAAGTTATTCTCTATGAAGAAAGGTATCCAGAGTCTGAACCACTCTTAATGTTCTGATGCAAATTAATTCCAAATTTCCTAGGACTTGAATATAGTAAGCTAATGAAAATGAGCCTCTTTTCCATGGGTAAAAAGAGGACAACATAACTCCAAAACCAAAGATGAATAATGGATCAAGTACTGAGATACTAATAGAAAAATATTCAAGTGTCCCATGTTAGATTTCAGTAGTGGACACATTGTTCAACCACTTTTTCCACCAAGCCAGGACATTATTTACCACTGTAAATGATAAAAATGGCTAATGTTTTAGTGATAAAAGCCCCATACCTAACCTCCAGAAACTAGGTATGCATCCAGCTTGTATGCCTCAATGTCATGGGGCAGAGAAAAGGGATTCCTGCCTCTTGTAACATCTCAATGATCTTACACAGAAATAATTTCTTAACGTATGTGGTTTCTCCCTTCCACTTGCTATCATTTCAAGAACACAAATCACACTGTATATGAGCTACTAAAAGAATAAAACACACATTGCACCTTAAAAGTCACTAATTCTACCACCAAAGAGGCTTAAGGAAAGAACTGGACCCTTGTTGCATTCAGTGGAGCTCAACTAAGTGGTCCCATCATCTGAGAGGAAAAAAGCTTTATCAAATCATGATTAACTGAAAGTTAATTAATAATAACAAAAAACTACCACTGTTTTTTCTATAATTGGGTATGAAGCAGAGAGTTATTTTAACACAGCCAAACCTCGAGCTGTCACGTAACTTCAAGACTTACCTGGATAAGGAAATTCATAAGCACACAGAAAATGCTAATGGCCATCAGCTGTGTAATAATCACAGAACTGATGATCTCGTAATTAGAAGTGCAGTATTTTACCATGCATACAGTTTATTGAAGCTGTCTATTCATGACGTTAACCACATTTTGGAATTTTGGAACTCATTTAGAATATTTACACACATTTAAAAAACTGTTTGGAAGGGAAAACAATGCACTGACAGAATTAAATGAAATTAAAGCCAGTGAGGCCTCCACCAGCAGTTTCTGCTGAGAATTTTCCAGATTCTCTCTGTAGTAATTTCTTAAGTAATTTTTTATTTCCAACCTCACCACCAAAAAAACCAACCACAATGATCACATACTCTCCCTTATTGGGTTAGGTTTTGGAAATGGAAGATGCATTTTGTTACACTTACAATACTGCTAACCATCCCTCCTTCAGAAACCAGAACCCTTTTCTCAGGTGTGTTCTTTAAAAGCCACAACATGGAAATTCGAATGAAATTTAAGCTGAACTATACCTAAGGTCCCTCTAAAATAAGAAAGTGCCAGCTGTGCTTTTTTCAATTCCTATTCTGTCACTGCAAATATCAGTGAGGAATGACGTTCACTCCCCTGAAAAATAATGATTCAGGACGATGATGCTGGTTTGGAGACTGGTAAACCTTTGACCAATATCCTGCTCTATTACAAATGTAAGCTCTCATTTTTCAGCTTGCCACCAATATTATTTTCCCAATGAAGAAGGATACATTAGGATAAATGGACTAAAGATCAGAGGGGTGTTTACGATAGTTTCATAGCTCTGTTTCACAGATCACTGTTTCGTTACAGTTTTGTCTTGGATTATTTAAAGAAGAAATCTGTCATCAGCTGCTAATGTCCACAATCAAGGAAACAAACAGAAAATGCTGCTAAGTTTAAGTACTTTCCTTTCAGACACTTTTCTTGGCCAAAACCTGATTTCTATCAACAGAAACTCTCATTAAAACGAGCTCTCTACTTGATAAATCTTGCCAGAATTTCTTCAATAAAAAAGGAAGTCAATGTTTAAAACAGAGGAGTACACATATATTTGGTTAGTCACCTAAAGTTCAACACTAGCAGCTTTAATATGCTGTACTACCACTTCTATTTTCATGAAATCATGTAATCTTCCAATTGCCAATCTAATGACTAAGCAGCTTTTCATTTTATAAATATGAACAGTTATGATTAAGACTACATAGTAATTATAACACACCACCTTCCTCAGCTGTATCTTGAGGCTTGGATTTTAAAGTGAAGATCTTTCTCAGTTTACAGTTAGCTGAAACACTAATTCCATCCAAGGACCGGAAGACAGCTCCTCTGAATATTTCACAGGTGAATGCTACCAAGTCAATGCACATATTGCACCACTAGAAAAGAGAAACAACACTCTTTAATAAAACATTAATCATTGCAGAAGAGTGTTAGTGTATAGTTCTCTATAAATGAAATCTCTGTTGAGTATTAGATTCTCACAGGCTGTGATTCACAATGCGTAACATTTCACTGTTTTTGCTCTTACAGCAATTATTTATACAAACAAATCAGTACATATCATCTAGTGACTGCCAGCCCAAGTGCACTCTTACCTAGCATATCCACAATATGTTCTGCAGCTAACTTGTGAGAAAGTATATTTATTGAAGGTTTTCTTAAGGGAAAAAACCCTTGTTATTCAATATTACTTCATAAGTTAAAGTTACTGCAGCAGAAGAGGCTACAGCTGGAGATTCTTTGCTGATTTCTTTCTGAGATCCATAAAAAAAAAAAGGACCTTTCCAAAGCTTCCACATTGAAAACTGTCAGGCAGATTTCTAGTACGGACAAGTCCCCAGTGTATCATAACATCTTAAAACTCCTACTTCTTTATAATAAATGTATCCATTCCTGATAAGACATTTCCAAAAGACAAATCAGATCATGACAACTGCCTAGCTTGGTAAAGGTTCTACTTAAAGACACGTTTTTAATTCTTATTAGAGGATAATTCCATTTGCTTCAGGAAACACTGTTAGAACACTAACATCAAGCTGCTACACTCTCCTGTGCTAGTCCAGTAGCTCTTTAAATTCTCACAGGTTCAACTTTTTGCCACGTAATTCAACACTTGTATACTGCTGCTGTTTCTAATATAGAAATAAGCAGTTACACATAACTATTTTGCATGTGGACCATATTACAACTCCATTACCCTCCTAGAAAAAAAGAAGTTTCACATAAAACAAGTAATAACCCAAGCAGAAGAACCAACAAAATACGTTTTCTTGTGGCTTTAGGTTTTCCATTTAGAGTCTCTGTCGTTTAAAAACATATATGTTCATAGTTCTGGTTCCTAAGAATTCTTCTCCTCATCGATTCTGATATCTTGCGAGGGATAACATGATGCTAACACATCTTCTATAATCAGGAAATAAAGAGACAGCCTTGAGGAGAAATACAACCATTTTCATGAAATTTGTTGAACTGTAACACTGTAACTCGTGAGTAAAATTTAGTTGACCAATAGACTGAAGTTTTAGTCAGGGAGAAAAATACTAAGCCAATGACTGTACATACCACATTTCCTTATAAGGTCAAGGTAAAAGTAGAAGTTTCTAAATGCCAAATAGTCAATATTTTTTGAGAAAAAAAAATAAGGTCCATATATTACTATTCAGCTTCTAAGTCTGAAATTTGGAAAGGAAAGGAATACTTGGTTTGAAGATGCCAAGCAACAGAATGGAAAAATGCAGTAATTAATTATAACTGGTATTTCTATCGCTGAGGTTCAAAAATAGCATTATTTATAAGAAAACTATAGAGGGAGCTAGCATATGAAACGTGAACCATGTTCCACTGACGGAACAAACAACTTATTATAGCCTTATTCACAACCAATCATCCTGATAACGATCAGCTTGTGTACACAATAGGTTGAACCCTCAGAGCCATGTAGAATATCTATCGAACCACTGAAAGCAGCATATTCCCTCCTTCAAGTAAAAGCAACAATAAAAAGGCAGATAACCATTTAAAAGAAGACAAATGCATATTCAGATACACTAAGAAATACAGACCTACTCTTTAAGGTTGGTCAAGCATTAAGGTTATTAAAATATTTTGTCATTATAAGTGACCAGAGCATTTAGATCTCTGATTCACATTTTATTACCTAAACTAAAATACATAACTGAAGTTCATATTCTGATTCAATTTAAATTGGTGCACATAAATGCACTTCTTAATCCTGAAACATTTGTGCTAGCCTGACACCAAGACCAGCTAACTGAAACTGTACTGAAGAAAACTAATTTCATTTCAGCGGATCATGAATTAACGGCACCTTCAAGGGTATGATCTGATACGTATTCATTTGAGAGGATCCAACCAGTTCTTCCCACAAAGCAGAAAACTCCTGAAATCTAAAGTAATCACAGCTGCCTTCACCTAAACTATCTTAAAAGAAGTCATAACTTCAGAGGTTTTTGTAAAATATTCTCTCTCATGCCTAGACTTAAATCCACAGCTGGTCTGTACACTGTTATTTAGTTCTCTTGGTGCATATTTATATTTTAAAATATTTGAAATCTAACTAATCTCCAAATGATTTTCTAAAGCAGTACTTGAGACTTGATTCTTTACCAGGATATATTGTAACCATCAGGTTTTATATCCTGACATCTATTACCATATGCTGTGGCTGGGCATGGGAGATGGGAACAGGGTGAAGCTGCTAGTTACTGTCTTATTTTCATCAGTTTGACATATACATTATTTTATATATACTACAATCTGCAAGAACTTGAAGCACATGAAAGTAGCCATCAGCTCCAGCGAATGTAATAAAAGGTCACTGCAGGAGAAGATACACATAACCAGGAGCGCTATAATGAAGACGTATCTGGAACACAGAGAGCTTTACAAAGGCTGAACAGCCAGCACAAGTGACAGACAAACACATCACAAACTGCACTGGGAAACAGGAATTAACTCCTCATGTTAGAGGAAGGGTAGAAAATGAGTAGCATTAAGTGGTTCTGATACCAGCCAGTAAAGGGGACACATGTCTTTAATTGGTAGGAACTGAAATCTAATCCAAATAGTAATTTCAACAGATCTAGAAACGTAGATAAGACATTTCTGATCAGTAAGAAAAAAAAAAAAGAAAAAGAAAAAAAGAGTTTTCAATCACAGTTCAAGGAATATTGCCGAGGTACCTACTATTTCGCGCTTAATCGTAAACAGAGGAATTTTTGCATGCAGAGGGGTTACAGACAACTCCTTGTGTATCGTCGATAAATACAGTCTTCTTTTAATATTTCCTAAATCAGTTATCCTATCAAAGAAAA